CCCCAAAACCCCAAAACCCCAAAACCCCATAAGCTAATATAAGCTAATTAATGTTTTTAATGTAAAAAAATTTTATCAATGAAATCAAACTAAATGAGAAATATTTTTCCACCATTCAGTAAACAAAAGAAAGTCTATCAAATTTTATTTTAATCAATAGCTTTTTCTTCTTGTAATATCCTAATAGGACTAGAATGAATTCTAACTGTAGGATTAATACCTTCATCTATAACGTTCACATCATCTTCAATCTGAACATCACTGATACTTTTATCAAAAGGATAATTCTCTTTTGACTGATACTACGATTCCCCTTTGTTGTTCCAGTTTTCATCAGCTTGATTATCATTAATCTCAACACCATAGGAAATGGTTTGCTAATTCAATGGACCAAGCTATTATTACTTTTCAAATTCCTTCTGGATATTAAGTTAAATGAATTTTCTAAGAAGTCCAGTATACAGTTAAGTTCTTAAATTTTTATTAATTTTATCGTTTCCTCTAAATATCCTTTTTACTAATACCGAATTATAAGTATTCTATGGATCTTTATTATTTCCAAAAAGTTCAATCATCAATTATGTTACTGTATTCGAATTTTCATCAAGTTTATTTTTCAAATGTTATTATTAATTCTTCTAAGTTTCTTTCTCCTTTTGTTTCAAAAGGCTTAGTTTCTTAGTCAACAAATACTTTTTAAAATTAGGGATAAGTTTTCTTTAGAATTTGGAAAGTAATAGACTATTGATCATCTTAAATGATCTAAGATCTTTCAAAATATTGGCAATATCAAACTACTTTTCAATCATATCCTTGCCTAACTCAAATAACTCCAGTTAGAATCTTTGCTTCTTGCAGCGGAATAATTGCTAAAACTTCTGCTTAATTGCAGTTTTGATTGAGTAAAAAAATGGAACTCTATCTCTTAGCTTTCTTATTAATCTTAAATATGTATTAAAATCAGAGTTATCTATTGTTTTATATCTCTAAATCCTTTTTTTAAGATTATCTTCTTCATCATACTTATCCTCATTCCTACTTCTCTTCTATAATTTTTCTTATTTACTTTCCTCTTAATCTATTTTACTTTTTTCAACTAGGAATGCTTTTTTAAGTAAACTCTAATAGAATAAAAATTCCTACAGAGGAGCTATTATAAAGGCGACAAATCCAAATATTATCCCTGCAAGACCTCCAACGTTTGATAAAGCCTATACTACATTATTAGCTTGTCTCTCAATCATATTTTACTCATTCAACACTCCGAATTCTACATTGAAGTAAGTCTAATTAGCTGTATCTCTATCAAACAGTATTGAAGAGGTAAACTCTGAGCTGATGAATGATTTTTCTTGCTAATCAAATTATTCATGAAGCTTATTATCTGTCCACTCAGCCTTGTTGAATAAGATTTCATAAGTAACATCATATTGACTTGAAAATGAGAGCTAGTATTCATCTACATTGATATTAATTTTTACTGGATCATTTTCAAATTCTTCGAAGTCAAATTATGATGATGCCGTAATAGTATAGACACTCGTATTTTCAAGAAAGTCTGTGAGAATAGTTTCATTAATAACACATTTTTTTCCAGGATATTTAACATCTAGAAACTTCTGATCGCATTCATCGATATGAAATTTTATCCAGTTTTCTCTTCCTTTAGGCTTAAACTATTAATCTTAGGACTAGCAAATCAATATTCCGTTTTTTTACCTAAATGCTTTCGCATAATTTCTATATATAGGACTATTAAACATTCTATCTTGAGGACACAAATCCATTTTCATTGTTTCCTCTGATTCACTAAATATGAGATCACCACGATCATTTATTACAAAATCCTCACTTATATAGTGCACATTGAAGTTAACATATGTTGAGATTTGTTCCAAACTCATATTGCTCTTAGTGTTAATAAAGAAAGCCATGTCGAAGTTTGTTTTATCAATAGTGATATCTGATTTTGCTATGGTAAATGGATTTTGAGCTTATTTGATACTTGTTTTGTTTTAAGCGATATCTTAAATTTATAAGAAAAAGTACCAAAACATGAGACCGATGGAAAGCAAACTTAAAACACCACCAAAAAGTGATTTTCTTGTATCCTCCCCCTTGTATAAGAGCTTTATTTGATGTCCATAAATGTCGAAATTGCTGATAAATTGTCTAAAGGCTTTTAGTCTCATTATTGATATATCTAATAACTATATATTTTATCTAGGCTATATTAATATCTCTTATAAATTATGATTATTCGAAACCGATTTGATATAAAATTTCTTAAAATTTTCATTAATTTTCAACTGTGGGGTTTTGGGGTTTTGGGG